GGCGCCTCAGGCGCAGCCCCTGGCACGCTCCGCGCGCCGGGACGGGGTGTCCAGCGCCGGTCCGAGAAATCCGCGCGGACTTCGAATTGTTCTGCTTATGTCGTTGTGTGTTCCCCGAGATGGGACCCGGAAGTTGCATTTGGTTTCACGCCGGGCGCGTTTGCCAGGTCTCGGGCCCAGGGCCATCACAGATCGAGGCAGCTCGAAAAATGAGGCGGACAAGTTTTGCAGTGTTGACTTTGCTTTGCAACGTCAGATCTCAAGGCTGGCGCTCTCCTGATTCGGCTTTTCATCCCGAGCCGAGGCGTGGCGCCCCTGGTGCCCAACGAAGGCGCCAAAACGCCGAAAACCATACAAAACAGGAACAGCTGAGGACCCTTCTGGCTCATGACGGGCCTATCCCTCTTCAGGAGTCTGGAAGATTTCACAGGCAAGACAAAAGAAGCCCAGATACCTGGATATTCCTCCTCCTCCTCCTCCTCCTCCTCCCTCCCCGCCCCCTTCTCCTCCCTCCCCCTTGCCCCTCCCCGCTCCCCCACCCCGCTCCTTCTCCCCCCCGCTCTCCCTCCCCCCTCTGCTCCCTCCCCCTCCCCTTCCCTTCCATTTTTTGTTTGACATCCACGTCGACGCCTCCACATCCTCGGGCGAGAACCGAAGTCCAGAGCCAGCGGCGGGGGGGGATGCTGGTTCCCTGACGCAGACCGATTAGTCTGAGTCAGCGGCTATCAACAGCGGGGGTGCCGCCCCACACCCCCAGCCGAGTGCGAGGAGACTAAGGGCAGGCCGAAGGCGAACATCGACCCCGGAACGCAGCCAGCAGCTCCTCGTCGGGCGTGGACACGGGGGCGCCCAGGGTGCGCACCAGCAGGCGGCGCTCCTCGGCGGTGATGACGACTGCCTCCGCTGCCCCCGCCGCCGCAGCGCCAGGACCGGCTCCAGCAGCATCCATCTCCATGGGCACGACGTCGGGGCTCGGCCGCGCCGCGGCCTGCCGCGCGACGCCGTCGGCCCACTCGTCGTCGTCCACGTCCGTCTCGACCGCAGCAGCCTCCGCCGCGGCCGCGGGCCGAGGGCCCGCGTCCGCCGCTCCAGCGACAACAGCACCAGCGCCTCCTTCAGCAGCAGGCGGAACAGCGCGCCCCGCAGCGCGCGCCTCCGCCACGCGGCGGCGCCGACGCCGTCGGCGCTCCACCTTCGCTGCCGACAGAGGCGTCGGTTCCTTCTTGTCCTCCTGCGCGGCGACGTCGCGGCCAGGCGACGCGTCGGGCGGCGCCGAGGCGGCGAAAATCACCGCCGACACCGCCGACCGCGTCACGGCAGCGACCGTGCGCCGCGGCGCTTGGGCAAGCACCGCGGCACGGACAGCAGCAGCCACCAAAGCAGCGCCATCCGCGACCGAGAGAGCCCCTCTAGCGAGGCGCGAGGCGTCCATTCCGAAGACGGCCGACCGAGCGCCACGCATGCAACCGCTTGGGCCAAAATGTCCCCTTCTCTTCCCTTTTCCCCTCCCCCCCTTAGGAGGAGGAGGAGGAGGAGGAGGAGGAGGAGGAGGAGGAGGAGGAGGCGGAGCAGGAGGAGGAGGAGGAGGCGGAGCAGGAGGAGGAGGAGGAGGAGGAGGAGGAGGCGGAGGAGGAGGAGGAGGAGGCGGAGGAGCAGGAGGAGGAGGAGGAGCCTCCCGCCCTCCCCCGCCCTCCCCCCGACCCCCCCGCCGGCGGTCGCCGTCGCGCGCCAGCTCGCGCTCGCCAGGCCGTTCAGGGCCTGCACCTGGGCGCTCCGCCGCTCGAACAGCTCTTCGCGGGCGCGCCGGGCCGAGGGCCCCTCCTGGGGGGGGGGGGGGGGGCGAGCGCGGCGCGGCCCCGGGGCCGGGCCGGGGCGGGCCTCTGGGAAGCCTCGCCTCGTGCTCGTCCTCGTCCTCCTCCTAATCCTCCTCCTCCTCCTCCTCCTCCTTTTCCTCTTCCTCCTCCTCCTGCTCCTCCTCTTGCTCCTCCTCCTCCTCCTCCTCCTCCTCCTCCTCCTCCTCCTCCTCCTGCTCCGCATCCGCTTCCTCCTCGTCGCCCCCCCGAAGGTGGGAAAGGGGGGCTCAGGGAGGGAAAGGCCACCCGTCCTCCTCCCCCTCCCCCTCCGTCGCCCTTGCGAAGAAGTCTCCCTGCGGCACCTCCAGACGTGGTCCTTAGGCCGGGTCGGGCGTTTCGCTCGAGATTCATGGAGGGCTTACCGTTACCGTTTTCTAGTGAGGTTCTCTCCGTGGCATTCGTCTTATAGAACTCAAGCAGTTGCACGGGTGGAGGATCGGTGGTTTTCAAAGTGACAAAATGTGGCTCTCGCCAGAGTGCCAGGGACGTTCGTCTGAAAACTTCCAACAGCTAGACTGAGAGAGAGGCCATCACGTCTTCAACATGGGGCTCTTGCTTGAGGAATCCTCATCGAATGTTAGCCAGCGTGGGCCCCGAATCGTGTTTATTGAGGAATAGATGTCTTGCAACCTATGTGAACCAATCTA